GAGCCCACGGGGCCTTTGTTCCCTGTTCAGGGCTCATCACCTGCTGCCCTCATTGATTTCTCTCAAGGACACACCGCATTAAACGGGGTCAGCTTTGACACGAGCCCGTGGAGCTGGGGTGGGGCACCCTCAGCTTTGGAAGTTGTGCCAAAAGCTGCCAATTTTCCTGCATTTCATGCAGGAAACGACCTCGCTGGCAGTGTCCACCCCAGGTAAAAGTGCAGGATGTGAGTTCAGGTGAAAAGGAGATGGATTTGGGACTGGAAGTCGTTTTTGGGGAGGTTTTAAATGAGCAGAGAGAGAAGGATGAGCAAAGCCCGAGGGCTGCTGTCTCCTTGTTCCACAGGATAGTTAGGAATGGAGGAGCTGAGGACAACACGTAATTAATCATTTTRTTTACGTGTGCCAGGACTGCACCRTCCCCTGGGACAGGCTGGCCTCACTCAGTGCATCCCAGTGAAGCAGGAGATCTCCTGGGAATATTTAACTTCATCTGCATGTCCTTGGCAGTGCCTGAGGGGAGCTTCAACCACGAGGACTCCACATATATTTATAAGCACTGTGTATTCCAGAAATAACTGCTAACTCCCATTCTGTCTGGGTGCTGTGCTGAAAACAGAGCAAAAGTAAAAATATTTCCTGATTTTTTAAAACCAGAGCTGACAGCCCCGAGAAGTTCCTGGTGCTGCAGCAGCTGCAGCATTCCCCRTGGTTTAGATCCTGTCACATCTGGGCTCCAAACCCCTCCGAGCTGCCCCAGGGCTTTTGCAGCGTTCCTGCTGTGCCAGGGATGTTGGAATTCTCCAGGGAGGCAAAAGCAGGGCAGGCAGGGAGAGTTTTGGGGCTTCTGAGCACTTCCCTGCCGTGGCTGTGTCTGTGCTCTCTGCCTTTGCACCCTCCGAAGCCAAACGCTGTCCTGCTGTGCTGGACACTGGTTTAATTCTCTAATTTAATTACCCAATTAATGCCAAACTCCCCGTGGCCCGAACAATCCGAGCCTCTCCGGAGGTGTTGGCCCTGCCCTGCTGCTGGTGTGTGGTGTCGCCTCTCTCCCGGGTGGGATGGGGTGGATTTTGGGGTCACGCTGCCCTGGCAKCCCCCCAGGACTGCCCCGATTTTCCGATTTGCGGGCGGGCAGGGCTGCGGGCGGTGTTTGCTGCTCTTCTCTCGCTCACTAGATGGCACAGCAGCGGAGCTCCCGAAAGGATCTCTCGCCCTTTTCCCTGGATCTGTACTCCCTGTGGCACCCCTTCCACACGAGCTCTGCTTCTCTTTGAGTTTTAATATTTTTCCTGTCCTTTTCCTCAGGAGTTTCCCAGCAGCATCCCCTCCATGGGTTCTGCTGTCCCTGGGCAGGATGGCTGAACCTGCTGCCATGGGATGGGATGGGTGGCACCTAAACCCTGCAATTCAGAGCTCACAGCCATGGAAAACCCTTCAGCTGAGAACCAGTGAGACCCARCCCTGATGAAACGGGAAATCTCGGCTGTGCTGGGCTTTGGCTGCAGATATTTGTCCTCTCTTGGGGTCGGGACATTGTTTTTCCTGCTCGTTATGGGGTGGCTCAGGGAAGATGGATGCATTTGTTCTGTTCACCGGGAGGACCAGGAACACTCAGTCACCTGGCACGCTGTCCCAATCCTGAAATTGAAAAGTGGGCAGTGGCAGCGGGCTGTGTGTGCCAGACTGAGCGCAGACAGCGTTCCCTCTGCAGCTCAGGATTGATAGCGGGGCACTGCTCCCTCATCCACTCCCTCCCCGACACCAGACCGACCTCAGGGACTGCCCAGCTGTGCCCAAACAGCTGGAGTCCAATTCCAGCCCTGCAGGAACCCATTTCTGAGCTGAGAGATGATTTCAGGAGTCATTTGACCTCTTGTTTTAAATTGCTCAGCGGATCCTGACAGAGCCGAGGGAGAGTGCACGTGCCTGACTCTTGTGTAGGTCATGACCTCTCCTGTAGTTATTTTATTACTGTTGTTTYATTTTATTTCATTTTATTTGGCTTAATGATGCCTCAGCCTCCGCTTGGGGCAGCAAGGGATGCCTTGTTCATCCTGAAACTCCTCTCAGCTTCACCTGTGCCACCCAATTTTTTTGTGGAAATGCTGCAGCCCCGTTTCTGCTGTCCTGCGGAGCACCCCCAGAGGATGGGCCCAGCCCAGGGCTCCCAGCTCGGTCACAAGTTCCTCTTTTGGGCTCCTTCACAAATCCTTGATGGCTTTTTTTTGATAAATGACTAAGGCCCAGCAGAGCCTGAGGCAGCCTCTGCATCTCCACAGTYGCTTCCCAGCTTTCCCCCCTCGGGAGGTGATCTGGTCAGCATGCAAAGCGCTCTGCACTCCTCTCAACAGCCCTCATTAGACTTGTTAATTAAACCCAGGAGCCATTTTGCAGCCTGAGCTGTGCTTCTCTGCCAGCCCTGCTTTTCCTGGGTGCTCATTATCTGCCAGGCTGCAGCCAGAGCCGGGTGCTGTTGGGGCTCAGGAGTGATGGAATCCCCTCAGCAGCWCACAGGGGGAGGTGATGCTGATGCTTAAGGGCTTCTCTACCTCAGTTTTTCCTTCCAGCATGTGAAGGCCACAAATTGTCCCATTCCTCTCCTAATCTGCTTTCTCAGGTGTTCYACATCCCTGTGCACATTCTCACCAGCACGGCTCCTTTGGGTGCTTTCCTCACCATCCTTTGGAGGATTTGTGCACTTTTCAGAGCTTTTAAAACCAGTGAAACTCCCTCTGCCCCAGCCTGGACACTCCACAGAACATCAGAAGCTGCAGTTCCTGATGTTGGTGCTCTCAATGAGCACTTCCAGGCCCAGCTCATCATCCCACATGAGGGCCAGAAAGAAGGGAGGATTGCCCAGGTCATCTCCATGTCCCCCAGCCTTCAAAACACCTCAGATTGAGGAGGGATGAYTGGGGCAGGAGTGATGGGCAGCTGCTCCATGGGTAACCCAGCACTGTCTCTGCACCCCAGATGGCACCAGGGAGGTCACCAGGGGTCTGAT